CGTTGTCACCACGTTACCTGCCATCTTGTCATTTACTCACCTTGTTACCTTGTCATCTTTCGATTTTGTCCTTTTGCCATCTTACCACCCCATCATTTTATCACTTCACCATCTTACCTCCATATCAGGTTGTCACGCGTTACTTGTTGCCCTGTCACTTCGTCATTTTGTTATTAAAAAAACTACCTCTCGACTCGTTGATCGTATTTTCTCACGCAAGATTCCTCGATCAGTAGGAGGCGAGATCCGCGCGGAATCGATCTCGGAATCGAGATTCCTGCACGGTTAATAAAGATCCAAGGAGCAACGGTCCCACGGGAGCGCAAACACGAAGAAAGGACTCTCCCGCTGAGACGAACACCGAGATGGGCGTGACGGGAAAACATGCAGTCACAATGTTGGTCCAACTACACGACAATTATCGCCAGTGGGCTTTATAATTAAGAGTCCCACCCGAAGAGACTTTTAGACCCCTTTTCTCGCCGCATTCAGGACCGTATCTAGCATCTCTTTGATGCCCCACGGCGAAGATCCGGTCGTCGAACGCTCGGAGCGATCGACGAGCAGACTTGCTAGAATTCTTCTTGTAAATCTTGTTACTGTAACTAAGCAGTATGCGTTTCCTTTCTGTCGGCAGTCAGGCTGCGTGCTGAGACATTGTCGACGTTGCGTTTGCATTGTTGCGAGCGGTTTCTTCTCCCCTGCGACAATGCCTTAATGGCTGCATGAGAATTCGGTGCATCGAGGAAAATGGGGAAACCAGGAGGAACGGTTTTGTGTGCTCTGTATTTTCATATTTAATATTCAAGACAGATTTAATGCGTTATTCGAGGGTCCCGAGGGTTTCCAGGGTCTCGTTTAACAAGGACTGTCGGGTAGCTATTAGATATTCATCTTGTTTGTTAACTTGTTGTTTGTTACATTTTCTAATTGTAGTTTTATCATTTTGCTGTCTTACCCTCTCGTCTTACCCTCCCCATTTCGTTACCCTATCGTCTCGTCATTTGTTACCTTGCCATCTGATCACTTGGTCTTCTCGCCACCTTGTCACTTAGTCACCTGGTCAACTTCTTATTTTCTTCTCTTACCATCTTGCCACCTTGTCGCTTCGTCATTTTATCAACTTCCATTTCCCCTTTTACCACCTTGTCCTTTAATCGTTTTATTATTCTTCCATCTTCGTACGTTACACAACGGGTAATAAAATAAATATGGTACAGGGCCGTAACACCGTTTCGTCGTGTCCGATCAATCGTGTACGAGGGCGCGTACCGAAAGCGATTGTTCCGAGCGTCGAAAGTAATATTCGATTCCAAGGGCAGAGGGGTATCAACCTCCTCGAGAATCCTCGAGGCTGCAAGTAATTTCGAGTGATTTCAATTTCAATTTAACCCCTCAAGCCGATTTCGTAAGTTCTCCATTACCCTATTTCGAGGATCGACAGTAGGGACACAATTATCCGATATCGTTGACGGAATAGAAAGTCTCATTATATGAACTCGCTTGTACGCTCCGCGAATACTATCGCGGATGGATTTCGATTCGAACGAACATCTTAAGTTCCTACGGTCGGGAACTCGATATTTACGTGATATCAGCATTTCGAGACTGATAAAAGAAGACGATAGAAATGACAGGAAGAAAGGGACCGAGAAATAGTTGCTCTTAGCAGAAAGCTATGAAATTTGTAATTCCGTTTTATTGTGTATTGGATGATATTTAATGACGATGGCTTGCACGTTAGGTATCTTAGTAGATCGTCAGATTCCCTGTCATCTTGTCGGTTTGCCACCTTGGCAACTTTCAATTTTATTCGTCTTGGGATTTTCCCATCTTTGCCACCTCGCCAATTGCTTGCTTTATTCCTTCCAATAAAACATAAAAAATATTTCTAATACTTTCGCAACTGAACACCCCTCGCCTAACCAGAATAACCGTACCCCCTATCATCATCTTCTTATCGGTCGTATCTAGAGGAGAACGTCTTAGAAAGTTGTACTTCCTCGTTAGCAAACAGCTCGCAAACTTTCCAAACAAATGACAGACAGGTCAAGGAATGACAGCGCACGAAGAAAGTAATAAAAGAAAAATTGAAGAGGAAGGGAAAGACGGGAGGAAGAACGGTTCGGAGAAGGCAGGGACAAGACGAAGACTAGGAGAATAGGGGAACTCTAAGAGGCAGAAGATCCTCGACTGAATTTTCGGCGACGAAAACTGAGCGGAGAATGAGAAACGACAATAACTTCTCGGCTCGGCGTACAATTTGATTTTATGCAACGCTTGGCACGCCTCTTAGCGCGAGGTATCCTTATAACGTTTAACTAGATTGTTATGATTGTTGTCCCCGGCACTGTTTCTCTTGCTCCGTTTCCCTTCACCCTTCCTCCCACGTGTCATCTTCCTCTCTTCGTACACGCAAACGCGAGCAGCAGAAGTATGCACATAGGTGTAAAAGCACACGCAGACTGTCGGCAGCGAAATTCCGAGGGAATTTCAACCCCTATACTAACCCCTTCGACCGTACACATTTATACATCTTTGTATATGTGTGCACACGTACGTTCTTGCAGCTGTTATATACGCGAAGACAGTCCTGTATATCCACGCGTTATTTCTCTTACAAAACTACTACCGCATTGCGGGTCCTAATGGAAAAACCAGTGAGAATTTCTGGGTTGTTTAGTGACTTGAAATTAATGGAATTTTTAAGTGCTTAAATACCATCGAATCATCTTCTCACGTGTCCTCTTGTTACCTCGTCAATTTCTCCTCTTGCCCCTCGTCTTACCTTGTCATCTTGCTATGTTGCCAGCCTCTTTTCTTGTTACCTTGTAATTTTAGTATTTTTTCATATCACAATGCACCATTTTGCTATCATATCGTCCTGCCAATGCACCATCTTACCACCTTGTTACCTTGACATCTTGTCTTCTTATTACCTTATTATCTTATCATTATGTCACTTTGCCATCTTACTATCTTTCCATCTTACCACCCTGTCACTTTGCCACTTTGTCATCTTACTATCTTACCATCCTCTCATTTTGCCATCTATTCACCCTGCCACCTTACCATCTTCTTACCTCGTCATTTTGCTATTTTCCTATCTAACCACCCCATCACCCTGTCACTTTGTCACCTTGTCACCTCTGCCAACGTACCATCTACCACCTTGTCACCTTCTCGTCTCATCACCTCCCCCCTAAACGACCCAACTCCGTGACCACTTCTCAAAAAAAAAAAAAAATACACACACACACACACACACACACACACACACACACCCGAATCGGCGGAATCTGTTACCCAAACGTCGCGAGAATCATTCCCATCGAGCTTATCCGTCAGAGCAGGCGTGCGATATTCATATTCTTGGCAGAGTCTGCCAAGAGAAGGTTGGGGGTGTAGCGCGAGGACGAAGCGCGCCGGAAGAGATGAACGGGAGACAGAGGATGGCAGAAAGGCATGGTGGTGGTTGGCAGAGCGTCGAAGCCAGTGATGCAGACCAGTGGCCCAATGGAGCCAACCCTGGCATTCTAACCCTACAGCCGACGAGGGCTGCTCCGGTCTCTACCGTCGGCGCTGATGCCGCTGGCTACCGCTTTCCAGATACTGTCTGCGGCGCTGCTGGTGCACACAGCGACAAAGAATGTCGGTAACACGAACAAGAGGGGGGTCTGCCGGGGGGGACGACAGGGAGACTGTAGGCCCTGGCGCAGAGGTGGATACCACTCTAGATATTTCTTATCCCAGCGCACGTAACCCTCTAACAAGCTAGCAAAGTTTACCAATAAATTGTATGACGGCGATGCTACGAAGCCACCGGAATACCCCAACCGCCGCTTGGCGATGTTTCTGCTTGCACCGACACTATCTGCACCCCCCTTTCTCCCTTGCTACCCTCGCGTCTCGTCAAAAATGTTTCAAGAAGAATCTACGAGGAGGAAAAAGTAGAACGCGGTTGCGTGCTGCCGGTGGATGCTCGAGAACTTTTCGATGCTGCTACCTCGTGGGGAGAATAACTTTTCAGGGGAGGGTTTGTTTCGCGAGAGGTTCGCGGGCCATTCCTTTACGGGGAAACTAAATGTCCACTAAAATGCGAGAGGAAAGTGACGGCAGAAAACATGAAAACGAACGATACGTGTCGGCCGTTATTTTGCAATAACTTTATGCTATATAATAATAATTCATTAAGAGTCGAGGTTCGTTAGCATATAAACTTAATTACCTCGGATTTAAGCGACGAATCAAGCGAATCGGATAAAAATTCGATGAGCTATGCGTTCCATCGTTTCCACCGAATCCTTTCGTTGCGACTGCTATATCTATATATGTATACGTTCAAATTAATTTTTGTTATTGAAACTCTTTTTTACATATAAAGGGACGTTCAAAGAAGAAAATTTGGCAGTGTAGATTTAATTTGAATTGGCAGTCTGGTCCAGCTAATGTATTTTTCTGATGCATATAATTTCCAGATGTAATGAATTTTTGTTATTGAAACTTTTTTTTACGTATAAAGGGACGTTCAAAGAAGAAAATTTGACAGTGTAGATTTAATTACATCTGGAAATGATATGCATTAGAAAAATACATTAGCTGAACCAGACTCCCCGTTTAAGAGTCCATCCCGAGCTGACCTCCTCACGAGTATCCCCGGTGAACTGTTCCTGCAGCTATAGCCAACCCCCGAGCGCATCGACGAAGTTACCAAAACCGTGTCCATGGAGAAGATGAAGAGGTGCCGTCGGTGCAGTTAACGCGCGGCCCTTTGTTCTCCGCTATTCGGTCTGTCCAGCAAAAGGATCGCGGAATTACCAGAGGCCGGTTCATTTCCGGAAGAGGGATCGACAGAAACCTCTTCTCGAATGCGCAGGAAACGCCGGAGCTAGTCGGAGAAGAGGTTTAAGCGTCTCTTCCTTGGTCTCCTCGTGTGCAATCGATTCTTCCGCCATATCGCACGGACCACTTCAAGGGACAAGAAGGTACGCGTGAACCGCTGGAACAGCGGACTGGTTAGAGAGAAAAAAAATAGAAGAGAGACCTCCGTTCCAGGAGTTTCACAGCCACCCCCTATCCCCTGAAACGTTCCGTTTCGTTTCTGGCCACCCGTGGCTGCAACGGGTACAATATTTACGGGGTCGCAAACCGCCCAGTGATTTTCACTTAAGCCGATTCGCTTCGTTGGGAATTCGAGATATATCCGTTCGAGCATGTTGTTTCGAGCTCGAAAGCGAACGAGAAACTTTCATTCTAAGCCCTGTTTCAACCTAACCCCTACCTTGGACATTGGCGAACATTTCATCCTTATTTTTCGAACGCGGCTTGGTGTCACCGATAGGGTGTCACTTTTTACTCGCAAAGGTACATCGGCAAGTGAAGCGATCTGATTTCGAAATGGGCTGACTTAATTCAGACCTAACCCTTTTCTTAAGGGTGCAGAAGATTTCATTGTTCCTATTTTTGGTACATAGGTTAGTGGCACTGAGATAACCTGAGATTCGAGGTGCCATTTTTTACTTCCAAAGGTACATTTGCAAGTTGAAAATTCTGGTTTCTGGACTTAATCCAGACCCAACCCCTTTTTTTTGGCGGTGGTGGTGGTGGGGAGGTCCAGAAGATTTCATCTTTCTTATTTTTCATACGCTGATTGATGTCACTGATAAGGTGCCATTTTTTTTTTTTACTTCCAAAGGTACATCTGCGAATTGAAAAATCTGGTCGATTACTTCTACCAGAACGTGGAATCGTGTATTTTATTTAAGGAACATGCTTGAACTTTAAAGTACCGTTGCTCTTTTTATATATTCCTATTTATAATCCGCTCGAAGGAAAGATTTTTTTTAAAAGGTCAATTTAAAGCAGAAGCGAAACGAAGCTCCGTTTATCATTATGCAAATAAACCACACGATCACGTCGCGACGAAAGATCGTATCGATAGCTGTTAGCTACGCGTTAAAGAAGAAGCACCCCATGGTCTCTCTACTTTTTCTTTTTAAAGAATCTTTGTATCGCGTACTTTTTTTTCGGAGCCATCGGCAAGAAAGTAGGTAGCCATTATGCCCGATTAGTATTGTGATTGTGTAACCGACGTGACGTGACTCCATTATAAAGTGTGCTCGCGCGTGTCGCATTATGTCAACGAAATACCGTTCAATATAATCGCCGGCTCCCTTTCCCTCTCTTTCCGTTCCGTCAATGTGTTCCAGCATTTGGCGCTCGTTGACATTGGCCGAAGGGAAGAAAGGAAACGCGACAATAAAAAGCGAGCCAAGTACTCGCGTAATTTATAGAACCTTAAGTCGAATGGATCGAGCACAACGAGTTCAATGACGACTATAAACGACTGTTGACAACTACTACTATCGACTTATTTTAGGGAGTTCGAAGTACATTGTTACCTGTTGAAGACATTTACCTCCCATTTGGAGTTTATTCTTACTCACAAAAATTAACAGCCACTGTTCATTGATAGTTGAATGAAATATTCATTCCATTGTTTCTACTATTGCCTGAATTTTAGGGAGTTCGGAGTAGTTTAAAGGAATTTGTCCACCATTTTAAATCCATTCTTAGTCTAAAAAATTAACAGCCACTGTTTACAGATAATTAATTCCGTTACAAACGCTAATTTCATTGTGAGTATAACAAAGCGAAAAATGAATTTTGTTACCCGTGACAGAAATCATACACCCACTTTCAAATATAATTGAATGTTCGATTCGCTATAAACCCAATCGTTTCTTTAAACGAAGTAAGTCTTCTCTGAACAGTATAAAAAGGAAATCTATTTCAAAGATATTTTCCAGCTTCCATCAAAGCGTGGAAGAAATTTCGACGACGAAAGCACTTGGCGAAACATTAAAATACACGCGTCTCCGTTCTTACGGAGATATTTCAAGTTGAAAAGTCCGTGCCGAGTATATTCTGAACGTTGCCCGTTCCGTTCCACTGTCCTCGCGTGTATTTTCCTCCCTGGCCACTGGCGAAGTTCGGTTTTGTCCGAAATTCTTCGCGTATGCCGGGGTAAGAACTTATTTTTGTTAAAAAGTGAAAAGATAAGAGAAGTTACAGATGTGGTGTATCGAAATGAATGACCAGTAGCGTGAAATAATGAGAAACACGCGAAGACAAGAAAGAATTACTCGGTGGATGAACTATACCCATCGCACGTAGGTAAATACTATCCTTGAATTATCCGGTCGATGGTGAGAGAACGGTGCGCGTAAACAAACGTTCGATACACCTAATCCAGACACATTTGTCTCCGAAAACCCAACGAGCACATTATCCAAGCCACCGTAAGAGTAACGAGGGGTAGACGTTAAAGTAAGGCAGTCCGCGATGGCTAAATCTGGAAAAGGTGTTAAAGTCGCGGACAAAGGTTTCGTTTAATTCGTTTTGCACACCCTTCGGGCCGTGTATTCGCGTAGTTTTCATACGTGAAAAAAAGCCCTTGGAGCTTCAGAAGCAGCGAGAGAGGCTCGTATTAGCGCCAACGAGTCAGAAAACCCTCCCGCGGCTCGCGTCGCTACAATATTTATGGGGTTGCTCGTGCGAGCGAGCGATTCCCGTTCGCGCGAGTTCGCCTCGTTGGGCGCTCAAGGTCCGAACAAGTCCTAACGCGTGTGCGGGATGAGACTGGGATGAGCGTGAAAAATTAATGAGCGAGGACGCCGACAGAGAATGCCTTAAAACGCTTATGAAAATACGTCTACACGCGCGCGCGCGCAAACTGGGCCTATATTCAGAAGCGAATCGACGTTCGAAATGCTCGTGTTCGCCTGATCGATGGA